ACATCTCAGAGAATGTCAGGTTTCTGCTAGGTATGAATGCAAAGATTTTTAAAAAGCCTTGTCCACTGACTCACAATTATTTGTAGACTTGCACCTTCAGTGTTTTTTTTTTTTTTTAAGAAGAACTACTTAGCTGAGTGAGGGTTAAAAGCATCTGTATTATCTATACTTACCAGAAGGCCTTGATTTACTTAGTCCTGTACCGGAGCAGACAGCTCCACTTTGTGTATAGCAATCGTTATTAGATTTTAAAAAAAATTAGATGTTGAGCATGAAGAATAGGATTAATTTTATGAAAAAGGCTGAGGTCTGGAAAGACTATTTTTAAATACTCCTTTTCTAAGGCTAAAATTTGTAAGTTGTATATGCTTTTCTCAGAAAAAAATATTATTGTTTGGCTTCCATCCACTGCATATAAAATAAAGATTCCTTTTTATTATTTCCATCCATCAGTTACAATGAATTGAATGAAGACTTTCAGCTTCTTGTGTTCGTGTGGCCTAAACTGGCTTGCTCCTATGGCTGCTGAAACTCCAGGATGGGCTTTCTGAGTACTACTCAGCTGTAGTTTACTTAGATGTTCAGTCCACTGTAAAGAGGACAGAATACTTTTTAGTACTTTTTTCAGAAAGTTCAAAAATCATAAAATAGTTCTGCAGAATGAATAAAACATACTTCTGTCCATGCAACTAAGTGCATTCATTTATCTGAACTGAAAATAAACATAAATGAAGCCATCACATAGGACACTGACTATTCACAGGAGATAAAAATTCTGATTGCCATACCATACAGTCTGGTTTTTCTCATGTCTTGTTTATACCCCAGGGCTGTTTTTATTTACACATTCTTGTGCCAGGGTGGCTAGAACCCAGCAGTATGTTCCAAGCAAGGTTTTGGAAACAATTTATATATTGGAGTATTAGTTTTGTTACTATGCTATTGATGATGACCACATGTCATTAAGAATAAATGGAATAACCAGCAAAACTCCTGTTGTGAAATAGGTGAAATGTTGATTTTTACTCCTAAAATATGTTACACACAGTACCTTCCAAAAAACTAAGCTGTGGTAGAGCTTGGGTCATGATTTGCTGATGAACAATAAGGTCAGCATTTGTCTGACAAGATGTCAGCATCTGCCATGTGCTAGTTACTCTAGGCTCACTTTATAGCCTGAGCAGCGAAGCAGGCACTTCTAGCACATAATTCATCTTGTCCAAAGACAGACATCTAAAATGGGTCATGTGTCTCATATCATAAAAGTGCCTTTCTCTCTTCAGTGAGGGAGTCAACACTGAGTAAATCAGTCATAGACATGTGTCTAAGGCAGAAGACAGAAAAGCAGTCAAAATACAAACAGAAAAAAATATGAAATGTGCTCCTCAGAAAAGGTGCAAGGCATTCTTTGGGCAATATGCTGGTATGATGAGATTTGGAGATTATGAACAAAATAACTAATTCATATTTAATTTCTACTGTGACCTCAGCTTTGTGCACATTTTTATATGTAAGAGAACTGCATCAAAGATGTAAGTGGCACCATCCTTTACTAAGAAACAAGACAAAACAAAAAGCCCCGCCTGCAAAATCCTAAAATTTGGCCAACTACTTTGAGCAGAAAAGAATAACATTATTTCAGTATTCTATTCTGCCATGTTATGCATGCAGCCAACACTTTTAGTTGATTATTTAACTGTTGCTGCACGTGGAGCACCAGTTTTCATTAAGCAGCTTGCAATGACACTTGAGATTTTTTCCTAAGTGATTGTAGTTAATTTAGACTTCATTAGAGAAGATGAGTCATTCAGACTATCCCTTCTAATGTGCATGTCTTAAATTTATCAACACTAAATTTTACCAGCCATCGTTCTGTCCATTCACTTAGATTCCTTAACTCAGATGAACTTTTTCAGTCATCCTTCATCTTGAATATCCTAAGTTATGTGTCCATGTTTCATTTTACCCTGCCATTGTACCCTATTTTACCCTGTCATTTTACCCTGTCTTTCAGAATGTTATTATTTTTGCTGTTTTACAAAAATTGGAGGCAATGCTGCTCGTTTTTTGACTGAGTTAAATACTGATTTTTTTTCCCCTCTTTTTGTTGTCTCTTAGCCAGTTTCTAAACTATGATGGTATGTAAGGGTTCATCGTATACTTTAGTTTTCTACTTGTGTTTACTAGATGAACAGCTGCACTGGCTTGAGATGTTACTTCCCTGCCTCACCTATCTGACTGCTCTTCCTCTGTACATCACTGCCAGTATATGCAACTCAGCAGAACAAAAGATTTACCTTTATCTCAGCCAGCTCACAGTTCAGAGCCATAGGTCATCTCCATCATCAGTTTAAGATAAATCACTGCTGTGGAAGTAAATATATGAGGGGCACCATGCTTAGCCTGCTATGCTGAAATCCTAGCAGAGACAGAGTAAGGGAACAGTCAACAACCACAGCTAGTTTCACCACAGTTCAGCTGTCAAAATTGTCATTTTTTCAGCGCTTCTTAAAAAAGAGTTTCAAATACTTTTAAACAGTCCAAATAAATTATGTCAATAGATTGGTTCACAGGCATGGGAAAACTGATTCTTGAGCTTTACAGAAAACATTTCTTCAAAGAGTACTTGACCTGAGTACAATTTTTTCCTTTATAATTTATTGCAGAAGAAATTTCATTCTCTTTGACTTTGTAGAAGTACACATAATCTCTTTTAAAGTACAGGAAACATCAAGAATTTATATTCTATTTTATTTTAATACCAAAGCTTCAGAATGCTATGAAGTGGGGGGTATTTCATGATGCCTGTAAGGTGCCCAACATCATTTTGTCATTATAGAAATAATTAGGAGTAACTTTATGTATTGCTCTTTTAATATTGTTGCTGTGGTTCCCTTAGCCCACGCAGTTAGCTGATATTCATCCTTTAGCACAGATATTTCTATGAGACAGAGAAACAGATTACATTATTCAGGTATAACATAATCTTTTTCATTTACAAATGGGTATGCGGTGTCCTGTTTCCCAGTACAGGAGAAGCAAACAGTAGCCAGAGGTCTTTGTGTGTGCTCAGTACATAGAGTTCTCAAGTCTGTTTCTGGTTTCCTTTCCTGGCTATATTCTGACCCCAAAAGCAAGATAGCTACAAACCAATAGTATATGGTAATCCCATGTTACTTGCTGTAGCCTGCAGTCTGGCCTAGTCCTTGGACTTTTCCTTAGAGTTTGCAGCGCTTTTTGTTATTGTCTTGAATCTGAGGGAGTATGTGGACATACCATTGGACAAATCACTGTATATGAATATAAAAAAAAATCCTTGATTTAAAAAAAAGTATAAGTAAAACATGAGCAGAAGTATACGAAATAGAGGTATAAGGTAACACAAAGAAGCACAAGATATCAGTGAAACAGTGAGAATTAGTGTAATAACTATATTCACAGCACTCCAGCCGGCTACTCATTACACAGAACCATCACTGCACAGGTTGTTGTTCAGGAGAGGTTTACAGGAGGCTAACATCATGCTGTTTTTACAAAGGACAGCTTGGAAGAATGTGTGGATGTTCAAAAAACGTGACAGATGAGCCTTCTAGCTTGCAGTTATCACTGAGGCAAAGGAGAGGTTTGGTAGCATGATGAAGTATGAGAAACATGAGGTATTTTGCAAAGAAGCCTTCCAGTAAGAAGCAGTAATCTAGGATTTCAGAGAAAAAAGCAACAGCTTTCTTCCATTTGTTTTGTTTGATAGTGAAAGAATCAGCCAGATCATGTCAAGGTCACCTCTTGACATCATCCAAATACCACCCACTATGCTGGAGACCTCTAGAAAGCACTGAAAATGAGAGGCTTACAGTTCTTAGAGCTTGTGGGTGAGTGCAGAAAGAAGGAGAGTTTAATGTTTATATCTATTTCATGCATCTGTGAAAGGTCAAGCAGAGCATAGCCCTAGCCATTCCAGGACTGTTGTGAATTGCCCATCTAAAAATAGACTCCTAAATCCATATTAAGGGACTTCAACAATCATCCTAATTTAGTAGAACTCAGCATCTAGATTCAGCGCTCAGGACAGTGTGACTCCAAGTTTTAGATGTCCTTTCTCCGAAAATCCTGTCATCAGTTTTAAAGGGCTATAGCACAAAATAGGCTTAAAAAAAAAAGAAAAAGAAAAAAGAAAGAAAAACCCAAGGACTGGCTAGCATGCTCCAGCTAGAATCTGTCACTGATTCATCTAGCAGCGTTTCAGAGTACAAGTCAAAATATTTCTCTTCCTCTTGTCCTCATTCTCAGTCTGAGATTTAAGACTCAAGTTCTGGAGTGTTTGCTTCTCCTTTGGCCCCTCTAATGGGAAGGAGAGCTCCTGTTTTGCGCAGTGAGCCCTCAGGGCTGCCACCTCCACCCTGCTGGAGATTTGCAGTTAGCGGTAAGACTCTGTTATCATCCGGATTAGATCCCAGGTGTCCTGCTGCTTAGAAACATACACTTAACAGAGCAAGCAACACTGCTTTACTACATGTTCCTTAGCTCAGATCTGCATACAAGCAATGAGCTTGCTGCAAAGGTGTCATTTTGGGGAGTCCTGTTTGCCTCCTCTTCCAGTGTTCAGGATAGAGGCGATTGTCCTCAGCTTCTTACTACAGCTATACAGTCAAGGGTCTCCCCGTTTACCCTCTTCCCCAGCCTTTAGCAGTTATACCTGAATTAAAAGTATTGTGTATTCCTTTTCAAGCCCAGAACAAAGGTGAAGGACAGAGACATATAAAGAGATCAATTTTGCATTAGGTACTGTTTCTCTGCATGAGGCTTTTATAACTAAGTCTTTTTTTTGATTGCTAGGTATGCTTAAAGTGGTTGGCCAGAAAGCTTTGAACTTAACTGAAGTACAAAAAGCAAGCTGCTCATTTAAGCAGCACATTTAATTCATCCTGCTTTGCATGCTGCTCCACACTGTCTTCTTTCCATATAAGGATTCTGTGGTATCTTCCTGCGGCACCCCTGCCTCTCTTCTGAAAACAGCCAAAGATGGCTTTGTGCATATTGCTTATATATGCTATAGGCCCAACTCCTTTTCGGTGTGTAATGTAGCAGCTACCTTCCTCTCATATCTCTCTTCTCTTCAGGTGAGTTGTTTATATTCAAGTTCTTTTCACATCTACTGAGAGCATGTTCTTAATTTATCTTGATTTTTAATATTTATTTTTGATCTGCATGAATAAGTGGGAAGTACATCAGCAATCCAAGTTCTGGTTATATTGAGGTTTTATATCATTGGTAGGTGTCTTCTGCCTTTAGATATTCCTTTTTGGTTAAATACTGGTTATTCATCAGATTTCTGTTTAAGCAGCCATTTTTTAGATTCCGATGAGGGTTTTCTAATGTTATTCAAAAATTTTAAGGAAACCTGCAAGGCAGAATTGAGAAGAGGGAGGAGAGGTTTTGTAATTTCTCAATTATATTATATTTAAAAATACAGCATATTTGTTGTGGGCTTTAGTAAGATTAAGGATGTTTGTTTGTTTGTTTGTTTTCTGCACACAGACCTGCTCATTCACTCATGCATGATATATAGATATGCAACATGCATTTTACAACTGATTAATAGGACCTTTTGTGTCACTTTCTGTGATCTCTGTGTTTCATCTCATTTATCTTCCTACTCTAAACTGATTAAGGATAGTGTGGCACTTCAGCATTCAGAGATTATCTGCCAAAATTTTAGAAGAGGTACTGGATTACCCTTCAGCATCTGTTCATACACACCTCACTTTACGTTACTGGACTGGTTTCAGATAAGTCATTATTTCTTTCTCAGCCTCTAAGTCCTTCCCCTGCCAGCTGCCCAGAGGGTAGAAGTTACAATTTATTTACCAAATGATTGATGTATTTAGCACTGCTTTGAAGAATCAGAAATAACAATATAGATTTAAACACCCAAATTCTCTTCTCTACTTCTGCACAGAAGACTGGAGCTCGCCCAGAGGCCATGGGATTGCAATGGAAAGCAATGTCCCCATTGTCCTTGTCCTGTGGAACAGGACAGCCCCCTTTCCTCTGGAGCCTTTCTGCATGCTCTGGAGGGACTCTGTTGCCCTGGAGAGAAGAGGGCAGTAGTTAGTTTAGTTACATTCCAGTTCATTCTGCATTTCCCCCCAGACCTCCCACATCTGTGCTACAAGTTGGCCTGGGATTGCATACATTCCTATTTATGGACTACTCTTGTTTTGGGTCTTCCCAGCAGTATCCAGCTCCTGTGTTCTATGCAGAGATAGATGGGAGGTCCCACAGCAGAATGGTTTGTGTGGAATCATATTGCCATGGATCTAAGGTCTTAAAAATATGCATAAATAAATAGTTTTGTGAGCAGTAAAACTAAAAAAGACTAGTTTCTTCCAGAGCTGTGGCTTATACCCTCATTTCATCTCTCTCCTGTCCTTTACTCCTTCCTCCCAGTTTCTGTACTTACATGCAGCCCTGCCTACACCTTATGGTCCCTCCCCTCCTCCCTATGGGTCCATATTTGACCAACTGGTTGGGCGAGAGACAACACTTTCTGAAGCTAGTTCACACATATATTGGTTTACAGTATGTGCACTGGATGTTGGCAGGAAAGCCACAGAGTGTCTCAGCTGCAGCAGGCAAACAGATGACATCAAGGACTTTGTGCGGCCTGTTGTAAAAACGTAATGTATTTGAGCTTGGCAGATGAACTGAAAAGTTCTCAGGTGTGGGCAGGCAGGGAGATGGACAGCGTGGTTATGTAGCCGAGATTTTTTTTATATAACCACAGCGTGGTTATATAGCTGAGATTTTTCATGACTAAATATGGCCTTCCCTGGCTCATAAAGGTAGTCAGTTCTAAGCTTTGCTCATGGCTCAGGCTCTACTCAACAGTCTGTTTAGATTCTTTTCGGATTTATTCAGACTTTTAGACATTAATAGATGGATAATTTTTCAGAGGTGATTCTTTTCCCTTTCTTTTCTAGAGGAAATTGGACAAGAAGGTTTTCTCAGGTATATTATGTACAGATATATTATAAATAGTCTGCTGAGCACTGACATTATGAAATGTAAGATCACAGAAATACACCTTGAATTTAGAGTGAGTAGTAAAGATATTTGTAGCTGCTATAGATCTTCCATTGACTCATTCACTGGTTAATGAAAGATATATGGAAAACACTAGTCCCCAGCACAGATGAGATCCACTTTTGCTGTTGACCCATGCTTCCTAAACTTCTCTCTCAGATCAAAAGTTCTTGTATAGGTCCCATTCTGTGCTTGAAGATACATCATGTGGCAGGGAGAGGTGACTGTGTATCTTTGAAGACAAGCCGTGGTGAGAACAAAACATAGCCTTTCAATTTCTTCTTCTTTTCTGTTAATAAGAGTTCCACTGACCTTCTCTGTACCACTTAATGGGTCCCACTGGCAGTTGCCCAATCTGCAAGTCCATAATCCACAGTTTTAGATGACAATCTGGATGTGATCTTTTACCTGTCTTGGGCAAATATTGAGGAGAAGGATCAACATTCAGGCTATAATAAAATTTGCAGGAATTTGGAACTAGCTACTGAAATATCTTTTGGGACTGTCCCTCAGCCTCTATATCTGTAGGATTAAATGAGCTCAGAGTAGCACACATTGCTAGGAAGATAGTCAGTGCTAGCTGAAGTTTCTGAGATTAAAGGTTTTATGCTCAGAGAGATTTCTTGCGCTAGTCCCACCAGGTGCTTACAAAGGCATATATAAATGAAGCTAGGTTTGCTATAACCTTTTATTCAGCTGTGAACAGAGACCTCACTTTCAAATGTTGCTATATAAGAATGCAGTTTCAGTGAAATCCGGTCACTTTCCTAAACCATGACAGCCATGGCATTCCTTTCTTGTGGGATGGTATTACACCGATTTCAAATTCATCACTCCTCTGTTCTAGCCTTTCTTAGCTCTGTTGATCAGAGTAGGAAAACATATGGGTTTTCCCCAAATACCATCTTGTGATGTCATACACATCCAGTGTGATGCCAGTTACAGAAGAATGGATAGAAGAAAAATTCTCCTTTCTGTCACGGATTCTGATAGACTTTTCTGAGTTACATTTAGCAGAGCTGAGTAAGGCTGATATTAGCACTTGGGCTTATGGCTCCCTGAGTACGCATTGCATTTGCTTTCTATTGTCAGGAGTGTTAACAACTGAAATTGTTGACGTTTTACCTTTTTAAGAAAATAATGAATGCTGAGATTCTGCAAAACAAATGGAAGAGTCAGAAACAGAATAGAGCCCCTACATCTTGAGTATTGGTCATTTGACTCTCTTGATACAGCCAAACTAAACACAAGGGAAAAAATAAGAGGTTTTTTTAACCTTTAAATCAGTATGTTCTGTTTCTTTTTTTTTCTTTTATTTTTTTTCCACTGGTCTGTTCTGTGGCAGTTGGGTTAGTTCTTGGGTTTGCAAAATAGACAGAAAGCTTATCTTCTCTTTAAATACATGTGCTTACATTTCAGTGTGCTCAGTGCTTATGCAACAGCTTTTTCTGGGCATAAATAGTTAAATGATTCATACAAAGATAATTGCTGTATCAGGTAGGATCTTTACAAGTGAGTTATACTGCTTGTAAGTGATCCACCAAATCCCATTTTCCTTAGTTAAGTCAGAGTCCCTACCATCACCTGACCTGTGGGAAATATAGGTCCCTACATTCCCTGTCCTTGTGGCTCCAGACTGGGATTTCCACATAACTCTAACGGTGAGAAACAGGAAAAGCTGGGCCTGCACCTAGGACCAGCGTCAGGAGGATGTCCATAACATTTCCACCGGACAGAGGAGAGTCACATTGAAAATTTCTCTTCTCCCTTGCCTAAGAAACATGCCTGAAGCTTCTCAGAACTTTTCAGGTCCCCTCCAAGCTCTGGTCCAGGGACATGATCGCAGGTCACCCTGCCCTGCTCTGCCCTGCTCTGTCACATAATAGGCAACAGGATGAAACGCATCACTTTTTTTCTCCACCTACCCTGCTTGGTTTAGACTGAGATCATATGGAGGAGTATGGGGAGAATAATGCTCTGTCCAAAGCAGAGAGGAAAGAGGATATGCCCTCTGCTCCTTGAAAAAGCAACCAGATGGTGGGGACTCTAAGGGGAATGTGGACATGGAGGCTGATGGCAGGAGATGGTGCCATCATTCAGATTTCCAGATTGGGAAAAAAATCCAAATTCCCAGATTCCAAGCTTTCCACAGTTCTGCAATACACACAGAGGTGTACTCAGCTGCTCTTGTAGACTGCCACAAGCAAAATCCTGTGTTTTTCCTTCTCCAGTTATAGGAAGTGAACATGCCTTAGGAGATCAGCCTTGGCTAGAAAAGCTTCATATCAACAAAGCTTGTATGAGCTGGCTAGCTTGACTATCTCCTGAGTGTTACTTGCTATGGAAATAGCTTCCTCTGATATGAGATAAGTCTGCTTAGTGTTTGTTAGCTTGTATTTGTAAACTAGTGGTGTATGGGGAACCTTCACCCGATCCTGTCACTCAGTAAACAAATCCTATAGTCTGTTAGTGAATTCTGTAACCTCGGAGACCTTGACAACATCCAGAGTTGTGGGCAAGACTCCTCAGAATAGATTTAGTTGTTACCTTACAGACACTACTTACAGATAGTTGTTATATCCAAACTAATCATGTGAGGATCCCTCTTTGTCAATGGCAAGAAACAGATGCTTTCAGCTCATTAGTCATTTCATTCTAAAGCAGTTATCTAGAATAGACCAGGTGAATTGCACCCAGAAAGACTTCTGTCAGGCCATCTAAGTCAGAGTTGTGAAGACCTGTGACTCTTGACCTATCTAGCTCTGCCAAGAGAAATCTCTAATATAGATGTGGTTATACTGGCAAAAGTTTTACGGCTTTACTTTGTTTAGCTATAGGATCATGGCTGGTAGTGCCTGATAGCTTATTACATTTCCAGGGCAAAGTACAGTTTTGTTGATATAGCTATGTCCACATTGGAAACACTTTGCTGGTAAAGTGCAGTCATTTCCTGTGCTCCATGCCTTATAAAGACCTACTGTCTGACTCATTCAGTCTTAATTGTTTGCAATTGTAGGCTTTTTTTTTTCTTTTT